GTTTAAAACTTGTTATATTTTTCCCTATCTTTTGAAATCTGCCCGTTCAAAATTGAATAGATCCAATACAAATTCTTTTAGACCTATGTTTTTTTAATCAATTGCAACATGTTTTATTACTGTTATAATTATCATCAACAACAACAACAAACAACTAATTTGAATAACGCAATGATATCTAATCTAAATAATAATAATAATAATAATAACACAACGATATGATTTTATACAAATAATATGTATCATCATGAGATGGTCATCATCATCAGAGATTGTGAAAGTGAGGAAAATGAAGAAGAGTAGTCTCTTTGAGAGGCAACCAACGCCAAGCCACACTAGATCCAACATCACTTTCCTCTTCCATCACCAAATCATATGTCATCCTCAAAGAGACTGAGTAAAAAACGCACAAATACAATTATGAAAATGTTCTCTAGAATTGACAAAATATATACAATATTATGAAATCCATCGCCACTATAGTTGTAAATATCAACTTCAGTAGTTATAGCATATAAGAAGTTGATGTAATTAATATCTCAAAGTAATTTTAATTCTATAGATTTGAGATATAAACCCTTATCATTATAGCCATAATGCTTTTTAGAAGCCAACATGACAATTGCCCTATTTGTTTTTATTTTTTTTGGAAAACATACAAATTTGTTTGATATATTGTTTCCAAAACTATTTTAAAGAATTTTTTCTAAAATTAACCGATTTTGGAGATGATCGGGTGCCATAAAAAGCTAAGGAAGAGCGCAAAGAGAACGATGATGGCTCTGGATCTCACAGTGGCGGCGGTGGATCTAGATCTCACGATTGTTGGTGGTGAAGCGCCAGATTTGCACAAAGATCTGGAAGGTGTAGGCGATGGAGTTGTGGTGGTAGTGGTGGTGGTATTTAATGTTGGAACAATCTTCTATGTAAAACAAATAATAAAACTGAAACAAATAAAATATTATTACTTACAGAAAGTTCTTTGTTTCAGAAAAACTAATAGAACCATGATCAAGGCGAGTATGTGACACTCTGTCCTTAAGACAGATTTGCTGCTGCACAGGTGCTTACAGAGTATCGGCGTTTATCTCCCAGAATACAATGATCACTTACACAGATTGTAGCAGCACTACAAACAATCTGTTAGGCGAACCAAACCTGTGTTCTGCAACTCTCTATGAACTAATATGAAGAACAATGTAGTATATGCAAGAAAGAAAGGAAAATTTTGAAATGAATGAATTTGTTAGAGGGACCTCGTATTTATAGGCCATATGGTGTTTGTTTAGAAAGGTAGACAACCCTTCGAACAGGTGTGACCGGACTGAAGAAGAGAGGTGACCGGAAAGGCACTGTTTCTGGGAAAAATTTTGAATTCAAATTTGGCTCAAACGTTTAAATAGATCTGTTAGGATTTCAAATTTTTCTATCAAGAATTTGAAAAAATTCAAATAAATTTTGTCTAAAAAATTAAGCTAAGACCTGACCCACAACTCGCACCCGGCTCGACCGGACAGACGGACTGCAGTGGTGGCGTGCGTGTGGTGGATTTGGGTCAACCCTACTTTGTCTATAACTCCTCACCTTCCAAAATTTGGGGTGCCCCTTAGGGCCCACCCCAAGTATGTCAACCTAAAGCTTATATACTAATATAAGTTCTCTTAAAGTTTTTATGTGGGACACCCAAAACAAGGAAACTTACATTTGAGTCTTCAACTTTCCATTTCACAAACTCGAAAACGACGTCAACTTCCCATTCACTCATAAATGGTTTTGACGATCCGTTTTCATCATGTGAGTTGCCATGTGACAAAAAACATGTCATCACTTGGACCTACCTCGAAAAACGTATGAGTCTCACTTATATTTGGGCTCAAAGATGACTCAAAATAAGGCTATAAAAATCCAAAAAAAAAAAAAAATAACAACAGTAAAATCTAGAGAGAGATCGGTGACGGAGAGCTCCTTCCAAATCTAAGCCGCAATGAACATCTTTGAGATATATGTGGCGTCGCTCAAATCTGAAGTTGTCCATTGTAAAAGACCACGTGATTAATGCCATGAATGAGAGAGAAAGAGAAATAAAGGAGTGAGAGAAAGAAAAATAGATAGATAGAGAGGCACAGGGGGTGGACAGCGGCAATCGGTGCAATGGATAGCAAAGAGAGAGAGTTAGAGGAAGATAAAAGAGAGGATGTTAGAGCAACCTCATCAAACTCGGTAGACAGCTTCTCCAGCTAAACTAGCGAGATGAATTCCAAAAAACCAGGCGCATCAATCTCGCTACAAGCGCGCCAAAATTTGAGGATGCTACAATAGCTCGTTACAACAAACGAGCTACTGTTCATCGTTATTCATTTTTTTATTATTTTTTTTCCCGCCAAACTCTACCCTCTTTCTCTTCCGCGCCAAAACTACATAGCGGCAACCACTACACAGCATTTGCTTTCACCATATCTGAAACTCAGGTTCTCTCTCTCTCTCTCTCTCTCTCTCTCTCTCTCTCTCTCTCTCTTTGTGCTGCTGTATTCTAGATTTGGATTAGATGGGATGAATTGGGGTCTGTAATTTTATTTGAGAACCATCAATGCCTCTTTGATTGAATTAAGTTGTTTGAACATCTTTGAAAATTTGTATGCACAAAATTCTTGTATCACAAGTGTTTGATAAATTGCCTCAATGAAAGTGAATGCATATATATGTTGATATTTTAAAGCTTAGATTACTTGTATATTTTTAAAATCTTTAAAACTGGGTAAAGAAAATAAATTGACAGAATCGAAAAAGGTGTTTTCCTATAAATTGACAGAATCAATAAATTGTATCACAAGTGTTTGATAAAGGGGAAGTGTGTTCAAGTTAGACAACAAATAAATTGAAAAATGTGTTTTCCTATAATATAATCGAAAATCTGCTTTCTTCCTTTTATTTCAAGAACATGCATGACAGAATCAACTCTAGAGCATTTTATAAGTATGTGGTCAATATATGAGCACATTTTTCCACTTGAGAGATGTCATGGATAGTATGTGGTCAATATATGAGCACCTTTCAAAAAAGAAAAAAATTCAAATTTTAGAAAACAATTATGTAAAGACTTGATTTTCATAATTGATTTTATGTAAAGACTTAATTTTAGTAAACATTTATGTAAAGACTTGATTTTCATCCTTTTGCTAGCATTTTTTTTTTTTTTTTGGTGAAGTACGTATATGCCAGGCATAATTTTCATAGATTGTCAAAACTTATTCTTCTTTGTTACCTTTGAAATGGAAAGGGAGAATGTATAACCTCACTTGGATTGCCTATGAACTGCTAGGTTATATAGTTAGAGTTCAAAAAGTTGTGTTTTTCACATATATTTGATGTTTGAACTACCAGGTCAAATAGTTGGAGCTCCTGAAATTATATGTTTTAGGGAAATTTAATGTCTTTCTTCTAGTAAAAGTTGTGAGTAGACTTTCCAGGGGTTGTATATTCTTTTTTTTAGCTTGTTTTGGATTTGTAAAAAGGTTAAGGCCAGGCAATAATAACGTAGATGGGAGAAAAGCTTAAAATATAGATGCAATTATGTTTCTTTGAATGTTTTGGCTAGCTTAGTTTGTAAAGTCCCTTGGTGTAAAGGAGTCGAAATTCCACATCTTCACCTTCAACACCAGAGTTAGTCAATCTAGAGGAAGATGAGATCTCACGAGATGCGCATATACAATTGGAGAGACCAATTGGCAAGAAGAAAGAAAAAGAAAGGCCGAAAAAATTGAAGAGTCAAGATACTACAAGTTCCCCAATTGTAGACTTGCTAATTGACATGAAAGAAGATAGAAAGAAAGGAACTGAGAAAAAACTTGAAATGCTTGAGAAATCATATATTATTCATGTTGAAAAAGCTGAATTGGAGAAATTGAAGGAAGAAGAGAGAATCATGATGATGGATACGAGTGGGATGTCCCCAATGCAACAAGAATACTATTATCAGCGTCAAATGGAAATCATTGAGAGTCGAAGAAAGAGCAACATTTCCGAGTAATTTATGAAGCTGTTATGTTTTTTGTGACTTTTGACTGTTAGTTTGGTAGATTTTGTTTGGATGAAATAGTTGGATCCTTTTGTGCTATACGGTTTCATGATGTAGAAACATGGGTTCTGTTTTGTGACTTTTGACTAAAGTAAGGTTTATGTATATTTTGTAACCTTTGCCTATATAATACATTGGCATTTTGTAAGCTCTACTTGTTGGAGTTTGATGGTACAAAGATTATTCTATTTCAGAATGACACTGAGCTGAACTGCTATTTTTTGGGTTGTTTTTACTGCTGTTTCGGATACTTTTGCTGCTGTTTTTTCTATTGTTTCGGAGCTATTTTGCTGCTGTTTCAGTGCTATTTTGCTGTTGTTTCGGGGCTGCTTTGCAGCTGTTTTTGTGCTGAATTTGGGGCCGTTTTGTGGCTGTTTTGTGCTGAATTTGGGGCTGTTTTGTGACTGTTTTTGTGCTGAATCTGGAGCTCTTTTGTGGCTGTGTTTGTGCTGAATTTGGGGTTGTTTTGTGACTGTTTTTGTGCTGAATCTGGAGCTCTTTTGTGGATGTTTTTGTGCTAAATTTGAGGCTGTTTTGTGACTGTTTTGTGCTAAATTTGGGGCTGTTTTGTGACTGTTTTTGTGCTGAATCTGGGGCCCTTTTGTGGCTGCTTTTGTGTTGAATTTGGGCTTCATTTTCACCTCCAGAAACCACAAAATAATAGGATGAATTCATATGGATAATTTATAACATTTTGATCAAATGAATTCATCAACCAAAATAAAAAAACATAATATAAATAAAATCATCAAAATCAATATGTCTAACACATGACTTTCCAAAAATTCAAATTACAAGCTACAACAGTTCAAAAAAAAAAAAAAAACTTACAAGCTACTGCAAAGGTTGTAATCATGAGAACCAACCTAGTGTTTAGGTCCATTCTCATTAATTCCAGATTGGCTATAGATTTGCTTATTCCAACCTAAGATTGGCTATAGATTTGCCACAAGTGCTCAACCAAATCCGATTGGAGTCGAGAATGAGTTTCTCTATCTCTTATGCGGCGATGTTGTTGAATAAATTCCATGATGTCAGGTGTACGTTCAAGTGACACTTGTGAAAGAGGGATTTTATCGATTTGTTCATAATCAATGTTTTGCTCTCCTCCGTCATCTCTTTCATCCTCAATGATCATGTTGTGTAGTATTACACAAGCCTTCATAATATCTGTAAGAGTCTGAAGATCCCATGGTCTTGCAGGTCCTCGCACAATTGCAAAACGTGCTTGAAGCACTCCAAATGCACGCTCTACATCCTTTCTATACGCCTCTTGGGCCTCAGCAAAATGTTTATTCTTTTTTCCTTGTGGACAAGGAATTGTTTTAACAAAAGTTGCCCATTGTAGATATATACCATCAGCAAGGTAGTATCCCATGGTATATTCGTTTCCATTAATGGTGTAATTAACTCGAGGAGCACGCCCTTAAGCAAGCTCAGTAAATACGGAAGACCGTTCTAAAACATTGATATCATTATTAGACCCAGGTAACCCAAAAAATGCATGCCATATCCAAAGATCATATGATGCTACTGCTTCCAAAATAATTGTTGGCTCATGTGCATGGCCAGTATACATACCTTTCCATGCAGTTGGACAATTTTTCCAGGTCCAGTGCATACAATCAATGCTCCCTAACATCCCAGGAAAACCGCGACTTTCGCCAACAGTTAGAAGTCTAGCAATGTCGTCGTTGTTCGGTGACCTCAAGTACTCATCAGAAAAAATTGCAACCATTGCTTTGACAAATTTCTTTAGGCTTTTCATTGCAGTACTTTCTCCAATCCTCAAGTATTCATCCATAAAATCAGCTGCTACTCCATAAACAAGCATTCTAAGAGCCGCAGTTATTTTTTGAAGAGAAGACAAACCGAGCACTCCAGCACCATTTCTTTTCTGAACAAAATATGGTTCATAAGCTTCTACTTTAGATTGAATGCGGAGAAAAAGAGAACGATTCATTCGAAACCTTCTCCGAAATAATTTGGGAGGATATACTGGTGGATCAGCAAAATAGTCGAGAAAAAACCTTTGATGGCCTTGCAAAGGATTACGCCAAACAAACTCGCGTCGTTTACGAGCAGCATGTTGTGACCTTAATGAACTCTCGGCTTCCATAGAAGCTATTGTAACTATCTCCAACTCATCATCGGAGTCGGAGTCATAAAGAATCATGTCTAGAAAATGAAGATCCATATATAAAAAATTAATGAGGATAAAATGAAAGAAAAATATTTCATTTAGATTGTGAGAATTAGAGAACATATGCTATTGTTTATAGTAGAAGAATATGACCGTTTGAAAAATTTTGACCGTTGATAAATAGAGCCGTTGGCATGCACAGCAGAATGATTGAAGAATATGGTGTAGTTTTGGATTTGGGGTCTTTATATTTTATCCGAAACGCACTAGTTGGCTACCGTGTTGGTGACTTTCTAATGATCCGATCCGTTCATATTTTAGAGTTTATTGAGTAGATCAACTACAAAAATTTTCAACTCAATCGGAGATCAGCACGATGGTTGCCCGGGCCGAACCGCAAGCCCCTGTTTTCCTCCAAGAAATGCTACCTGATCAAGCCCCTGGAAATGCTACTTGATCAAGCCAATCCATTAATTTAATAAAAAAAAGAAAGAAAAACAAATACAATAAAAAAATAATATTTTAATAGAATTAAATTAAAATAGAGAGTTTGATGAAGTGGGTACTAAAAATATGACTAGCTAAAATAACAAAATAGCTTTTTAAGTTATAATTTGACTAAAAATTTAAAGAGATTGATGTGGATGCTCTAATAAGTTAGGAATATTAAGTTTTCTAAATATTATATTTTATCCACTATTTACTTATTATTAGGATCATATATTTATTTAACAATTTAATACTGATTGGATACAATGCCAACATAAATAATTACTCTCATGAATGATTTAGTCACGTTTGGAGACGTGTGAGTCTGTCATAAAAAAAAATTATTGATTAATTTCAGAGCATCACATAACTTTACCCCAGGCTAATCATAATTGATTATACTCTCTCATTCTTTTTAAAAAAATGTTATATATCTCAAATGTTTTATCAAATATTTTATTAAACTTCTCACATGGAGTGAGACTCATACAAATTCACTTGCATATGAATTCCACACTCATATAAAAAAATTTGATAAAATCGAAATTCATACAAATCTACATAGGTGTGAATCTCACACTCATATAAAAAAATTTAATAGAATATTTGATAAAATATTTATAATTCCAAACCTAACTCTTCATTTAAATCACCCAACATAAATTTATGCACTCAGCTCTTTCATTAATCACCATATCATCATTGAGTGGCGGTGTTAAATATCATTGAATGGAGCAAGGATTCTCTCCCTGCCTTTCTTACTTCACTTCCTCCTTGCAATAGCCAAGATTCATTTTAAGAAAATTTAATGGTATAGATCATTCTAAAAAAATTATTTTTTAATTTTTAATAAAGTAATCTGAGCCATTAAATTCTTTTAAGATGAATCTTAACCATTACAAGGAGGAAGTGAAGCGGGAATGCAAGGAGAGAATCCTCACTCCATTGAATGGCGGTGTTCCAAGACCAACGTGATCAGTACGTTACCAATTCATATGTTGTCTAAATACCCTCCTCCGCAGCCGAAACACAAACTAACATCCCAACTCAATACAAGATCTGAAACCAACGCAACTCGCGACTGGTGTATGTCCGGTGAGTCTTCTCCTCTCCATACCCCTTTCTTTTAATGCTTTTTAAAGGAAGAATCTTTGCTATTGTGTGTGTATGTGGTCTTTTTTGAGTGTCTATGGTAAGAGATTATATATGAATATTATATGTATCACTTTGGAAATAGAGATTTGGGTTTATTTTGCCAGATGGTCTTTTTACTGGAAGAAGGGTTTGAAAACAGAGGGTTGTGATGAACCGGTCTGGCAGGCAAAAACTTTTGTCAAATTTTAGTTTCCACATCTAATTTATATATTTTTATGATCAATCACAATTGATTTATGTATAGAATGAAAATTCATGTTATATGCTATCTATTTTTGGTCATAGCCATGATCCTGATTTGTTTTGTTCCTTGTTCGCAAACAGTCATTTAAGAAAATAATGAATGTAAATAATATCCTATATGTATTTGATAATATAAAAAATTAAAAAAATCAGTGATTTAACTCAAAAAATTCTCAATAATCCTTTACTCTCTTTGCCTACAGAGGAGGTTTATTTTGAAATTTGAATTGGCCTACACACAATGGTTATCCTCGAGTTTTACTGTTGCCCCTGTGGAAGTTGTGAGAAATGCTGGTTGAATTTACAAAATTTTTGAAGTCCAAGAAATAAGGTGACCATTTCAATCACCGGTGATCCATCGAGAGTTAAAACAGTTCTTAAAAATAAAAGAAAACAAGTTTTGGAGCACTTTGAGCAAAACCCGACCATAAACAACCACAAAATGCAAATTGTATTACTACAGAATCCAGTTTCAGGAATTCGTGACCAACATATGATACCACCACAGCCAGGTAAACATCAAATATTCTATTTTGGTGATTGTAATTGAAGACTTTATCAATGCGGCTTACTTCTAAATGTTTTTGTATGAAGTTGACAAACCGACTGTGAAGAAATCTCAAGTTTGCTGCCCAAAGTGCAACCGTGAGCTCAAGTTGAAAAAGTCTAACAAACGGTTCACATGCGATGGATGTATGCAGGATGGATTTGGATCACGAAACCGATGCGAGGACTGCAATTATGACTTGCACCAGGAGTGCACGTCACCTGAACCTACCATTTCCCCCGAGTTTTTTCGAATAGTCATCTTTGAATTTTGTCGTCAACCAAAACAAAGTACAAGGTATTATTAGAATTTTTAGCAAACTCCAATACCATGGATGAAAATGAATTTGTTAGCACTGAAAGTATGATTTTGATTGTTTTTTGTGGGAACTTATTTCTCAATGTCTTTTGGGGCTTTCACCTAGATACCGGTCTGCTAGATAGCTTGTTAACAATTCAAATTACTTTTCTCTAGCAGGTCCTGTTATGCATGCGGAAAAAGTATGCATGGCTATTTTTATTGACGTGTATAAGTCCATAAAGGTCACGAATCACTATGAACAATCCAAGCCCATCACTTGGAGCCCAATGCATAACCCAGCTGGTGAGGTTCAGGACAGCTGGAGTCCAACATGGCATAAAGAGCCAATGACATTCAGACACACGGCAAGTGAAGGACGGGCCACATCAGCAGACAAAGATCTGCAAAGTTATTGCCACTGCACATCACCATTAATGCAGCCCATCACAACATTTATTATGACAACACCTTTCCGTCGGAACATGACCCCCTTACCCTGAACAAGGTAAGCTACAGCATAGACTTTCGGCGAGGAGGGCAAGTCGGAAGGGACATCGAAATGATTACCAAAGGATATAAGCAAACGTTGAAGACAAGAAGATGGTTAAACTTTTCTATCTCTAATCTCTCTCTCTACACTCTACTTCTCTCCCTAATTTGCTCATCAGAGGGTTTACTGGGGGACTACCCAGTTCCCCGTTGAACTTGTTTGCAGGTCATCTGGGGGGCTTGATCATTTGGACGTGGGCTTGAGGAGATTAGACCAGTCTGATCCATTCACTGGAGCAAACTGTATTATCAGTTGGCGCCGTCTGTGGGAAGTGGTTCTTATCCGGACGCCAGTTGTGCTCATTGTCGCCGGAGACCCTGTCCTAACAACCTTTTCATCCTACCCATCTAAGTGTATGGTCACGACTAGATCCATGGCTTCTCACCATAATGCTGCCGACCATCAAACCGACCTGCCCAATCCAAACAACCAACCACAGTATATCATTGAGCTTACCAACAGCATTAACCGCATGGCCAAACAAAACTAGGCACTGATGAATGTTTTACTCCAAAGAAACATTCCGATACCTCCTCCACCACCTCCAGATATTCCACCCAACCAAGAAAGAGCCCCGAGCCATACTGTTCCGCAACCCTATCCACCCAACTTGGAGGGTTTGCAACCTCCTCCCCCGCATATAAATCTACCACCTCCACCCCCACACCCTTCGGTCGCGGCACCAGCCCTTGAAGGGAAAGCCAGCAGCGTCCAGCCCCCATTGACTGACCATGGCGACCACATTCCCCTCTGGGACGCTGAACTCCGAGCAATGAAGCTCCAGCTCCAAGGGGTCATGCAGAACATTCAGCATAAACCCTTTACCACGGCAAGCTCACCATTTGTTGCCTCTATCCAGGACAAACCTCTGCCCGCCAAGTTCAAGATGCCTACCATTGACTCTTTTGATGGTACGACGGACCCAGTCGACCATCTGGAGACCTACCGCACCCTCATGACCCCCCATGCCTTCCCTGACAAGATCATGTGTCGGGCTTTCCCCGTGACACTGAAGGGGTCAGCTCGACTATGGTTCAGCCAATTACCAGCAGACTCTGTCTCCACTTTCCAACATCTCAGCGACTCCTTCCTTAGCCATTTCATTGGAGCCCAGCGCCAACACCGCCCTGCAACCCAACTCCTCAACATCCGTCAAACCGAGGGGGAGTCGCTGGGTAGTTTCGTTACCCGCTTCAACACCGAAGCCCTGCAAGTAGCGGAAAACGATGACAAGGTCATCCTCACGGCTTTCATGGCCGGGCTACGATTGTCCGACTTCCTTTTCTCCCTCTCCAAAAACCCCCCGACCTCCATGGCAGCCCTACTCTCCAAAGCCCAGAAATACATGAATGCCAAAGATTCACTAGCCACTCGGCAAGATCCAATATCTAAAAACCCGACCCCCAGAAAAAGAGAAAAAACTCAGAACCCAGAAACACCCAGTATAACAGCCAAACACCCCACTATACCGACCGACCTCCTTGCACTGACTGGTCGACACCCGCCCGACCGCCCGGTCGGTTCGAGCGGTACACGCCCCTTAATTCTCCCATGGAACAAGTCCTCCACCAGATCCAACGGGATTACCCCCTCAAATGGCCCCTACCCTCACGAACCCCTTCTAATCGGAAAGACCAGTCCAACTATTGTCGTTTCCACCAGGACCATGGCCATAACACCGATGACTGCATCAACCTCAAGGATCAGGTCAAGACCCTCATTCGCCAAGGGTGTCTCAGCCGATTCACAGACGCCCGCCCACAACAGAGGCAAAGAACCGAGCCTCTCAGAAATAACTGCCGGCGTACCCCACCCCGGCAGCTAGCCTAACCTAACCAAGATCATGATCGCCCCCCACAACAGCCTCGGCCGCCAGGTAATCCCCCTCTGCCAATTGGTGAAATTCGAGTCATTTCAGGTGGCCTTGCTTGTGGCGGACCATCCCGCTCAGCTCAGAGGGCAGAACTCAGGAAGATAAGGCAAAGCTCGGACAGAGCAGTTGCCACGGTAGACCGACCCTCCAAACAGCCCAAGCAGTGGACAGAGCCCATCACCTTCACGGATGCCGACTGTACAAGCATCCGTTATCCTTATGATGACTCTCTCGTCATTTCTGCCCTCCTCTCAAACTATAAGGTCAGACGGGTTCTTATCGATAACGGCAGTTCTTCAGACATCATATTCTTCAACTGCTTCTGCCAGCTCAAGATTAGGGAGGAAAGCCTGTCTCCCCTTCAAACCCCTTTGGTCGGTTTCACTGGCGACCGGGTGCCCTCCATCGGCTCCAACGATCTCTCCCCCACCATCGGCGATTACCCACGGCAGACTACCAAGTTGGTCACTTTCCTTGTGGTCGACTGTCCCTCTGCCTACAACATCATCCTTGGTCGTACCGCCCTCAACGCTTTCCAAGCTATGACTTCAACCTATCACCTCGCCATAAAGTTCCCTACCGACCTGGGCGTCAGGACATTAAGAGGAGAGCAGACTGTAGCCAGGGAATGTTATGTCGCCTCACTCAAGGAAGTCAAGCTGAAGGAGGCCATGATCATTGAAGGACTTGACGTCCGAGATGAGGACGAGCTGGTTAGAGGAGAACCGGTTGAGGAGCTCGTTGAGGTTCCCATCGATCCCACCAACCCTATAAAGACTGCCAAGATCGGTGGCCAACTATCCCCCTAAGCTAAGGCCAACCTTACCGCCCTTCTGATCGAGCATAATGATGTGTTTGCCTGGACCCATTCAGACATGCCGGGCATCGACCCTTCTTTCATAACTCACCGCCTCAGCATCGAACCCCATTTCCGACCTTACCGCCAGAAGCAGCGCATCTTCCATCCAGAGCGCAATACACTTATATCCGCAGAGGTTGACAAGCTCCTTGAGGCCCAATTCATAAAAAGCGTGGATTACCCTAAATGGTTGTCAAACGTGGTCCTAGTCCGCAGGAACAATGGCAAATAGCGACTCTGTGTCGATTACTCTGACCTAAACCAAGCTTGTCCCAAAGACAGCTATCCTCTTCCCCGCATAGATCTGCTGGTCGACGCCACGGTCGGTCATCAAATGCTCAGCTTCATGGATGCTTTCTCTGGGTATAACCAAATCCTGATGCACCCGTCCGATCGGGAACATACATCCTTCATTACCGACCGAGGTACCTACCACTACCACGTGATGCCATTCGGACTGAAGAATGCTGGGGCCACCTACCAACGGTTGGTCAATGCCGTTTTCCATCATCAGATAGGTCGGAATATGGAAGTCTATGTCGACGACATGCTAGTCAAGAGCAAACTCTCTATTGATCATCTGTCCGACCTGCGAGAGACCTTTGCCACCCTACGCAAGTACCAAATGAAGCTCAACCCAGAGAAGTGCGCCTTCGGCGTAGGATCTGGGAAGTTTCTGGATTTTATGGTCAGTCAGCGAGGCATTGAAGCTAACCTTGAAAAGATCAAGGCCTTGATTGAGATGCAGTCACCCAGAACGGTTAAGGAGGTTCAAAGGCTCACTGGCCAAGTTGCGGCCCTCAACCGCTTCATTTCCCGCGCAACAGATAAGTGCCTACCATTCTTCAAAGTTCTTCGGCAAACTTTTGAATGGACAACTGAATCTGAAGAAGCTTTTCAGGAGTTGAAGCAGTTCATGGAAAATCCCCCCTCCTTTCATAAGGAATTACGGGTGAACCCCTCTTCCTCTATTTAGCCGTCTCAAGCATCGCAGTCAGTGCAGCTCTTATTAGGGAGGACGACTCTGTCCAATGGCCGGTCTACTACATCAGTCGGGCTCTCCGGGGAGTAGAGCAGAATTACCCGCTGCTAGAAAAATTGTCCTTGGCCTTGGTCACCGCCTCCAGACGACTCCGTCCTTACTTCCAGGTCCATTCCATAGTGGTTCTCACCGACCAACCCTTGAAGAAGGTCATGCAGCAACCAGAACTTTCCGGCAGACTCATGCAGTGGTCAATGGAACTCAGTCAGTTTGACATCTCCTACCGGCCTCGAACAGTAATTAAGGGACAGGCTGTCGAGGATTTCATCCTGGAATTCACTAATCATACCCCAACCGCTACACCCCCACCATCACCAATCCCTACCGAGCCAAAAGACCCGCATTCATGGACTCTTAACATAGACGGATCATCTCGTAGGGAAGGTAGTGGGACTGGCCTCATTCTCACCGCCCCTGAGGGTGGCTATTTCAAATGTGCTCTCCGTTTCTTGTTCAATGCCAGTAACAATGAGGCCGAATATGAGGCATTGATAGCAGGACTTTGCCTCGCCAAGGACATTGGAGTCAGCCACATCCGAGTGTTCAGCGACTCCCAGCTCATCGTCGGCCAGATTATGGGGGAATTCGATGCCAAGGAGGACACAATGCGGGCTTACAGGGATATGGCCCTCCCCCTTGTTCGCCTCTTCAATACCTTTCACATCAAGCACATACCTCGGGCGGAAAACTCCAAGGCAGATGAGATGACACAGTTGGCCTCTGCAGACCAGTCCGACCTCAGCCACGGTGTTCGCCTCGAATACGTAGCCCACCCGGCCATCTCACCCGACTTACAAGAAGTGCAGTTCCTTCAAAACGAACCTATCCCTTGGGCGTCCGACATCTTCCTATTTTTGACAATGGGAGAACTCTTAGATGACCAACAGTAGGCCGCCAAA